GTGCGTGTATTGTCCATGGGGGGTGGTTTTAGTGTGGTATACAAACAAAAAATATAAGTGTCAGTATCAGCATTAATGCCTCTAAGGTTATGTTGGATAAAAAAAATGTGTTTCTTTCACTCTCAGTGTTTTTCATGAATTTCTTATAGAAGAACTTTTATCTTTCTTCATATATTGGGGCAAGTTAGGGTTTCCTGTTATTACGTTGACATTTTTGCCATCAAACATCCATATTTTTTGAATGTAACAAAGGTAACAAGGTCTGGTCCAGGATTCCAATAACACTATTCGCTGGAAATTTTAATTTAAGCATTTCACTGAGCGCCCTATAAAGGATTAACCCAACTGGAAAATGTTTGTTAGTAAAGATCAGTCCAACTAGATCAACATTGAACCAAGAGTAGGTTTTCTATAGAGAGAACTATTTCAGTCCAATATTAGGAGAACAGCAATGGTGTAGTAGATGGATTTAAGAGGGAAAACTATTAATACCGTTTTTTTCTTACTCCAAAACATTATTAAAATCCTGACACACCGAAATAAGATTTACAATCTAGATCAAAGCCAAACAGGTTAACTTTCAAAGGGCCCACGTCTGAAAACAACACACAAATAACTAAATATACATACTGGAAAAAAATGACTAAAGGAAGATAGAATAGAATAGGAAAAAAAATGTATGCATGAAAAAAAAGAAATGAACAAAGATGGGATGCAACACATAAAATGTTTTCATTAGAAAGTATTTAGAGCTGTGAAACACGGTGGCTGTAGTATCATCATTAGGCAGCAAACTGAAAACCAACAAATATTCAATTTGGGCTCCATAAATATAACAATACTTTTATTAAAAAAAAAAAAAAATGAAAACAATTATGTTTAACTCACATTTTAATTAATATTTGCGAATTCCTTAATATTTTCTTGAGTTTTAGCCTCTCAGTGACTGAAATGTGTTTGTGGGCATAAGAAGCAGAGCGGAAACCATCCAACCATGCAGAGTCTAAAGGATTTGCACTTGAAATATGGTTTCCAACCAAACCATCCAATCCATCATTTCAGCCATGCTTAAGGATTGTGATATTGCAATAAATTCTTTAGGTTTAAACCAATGAAGAGTTGGAATCAGTCTAACAATTCAAATTTCTTAAAGCAAAAACGTAACACTAAAAGCTCCTTTAAAAAGACCCAACATAAACGATATCATTTTTTAATTAATAAAACAGATCTAAAATCATTAAACATTGACTGAAGTTGTATTTAAAACCTCCTCCACTCTCACCTGGGTCTAATCATCTCAGTTGTGTTCTCTTTAAATAGATGTTTAAAGAGGTTTTCATCATTTCAACATGCAGAAAATAAACTGCAAGGGGCCGAGTTGTCATTCTTGTGGAAACAGTTGTAATTACAGACAGAAAACTTCACATTCCTCAATAGTCGGCAGAGTATAAATAATCTCAATGTCTAATTTAATGCAAGTTATTTCATCTTGGGACTGACAGATAAACAATATATAGAAAAAAACTGGAAAGCATCTCTGTTACCTAAAGACCTCTAGAAGACAAAACAGAAAGGTATGAGGAAGACGGTTCGAGCTGCGTTTCCATTAAGAATCGACTTACGCAAATTCTAATTACGAAAATAAATTAACACTGCGATTTTGAAAAGGCTCACATTTTAAATTAAAACTTCACGCTTCAGTAAGGTAGTTTTTCAGTCATCTCATAATTCGTCTATTTTGCAAAACTGCAAAGCGAACCCCTTTCCCGCATCACCTGATCTGCAACCACGCCCCTTTCTGCCTTGCAAAGATGAAGACGACGACCAGAAGTAGTTGGAGTTTTGGCTGAAATATAGCTATATCTCATAGCTGTTATGTTAATTTTATCAGAGTTATGATGTATACAAATGTCTTTATGAGACATTTTAATTGTATTTGTTATGATATTGACAGTTTTGTCTTTTTTGTAATAGAAACACAGCTTCTGTTTCTTCCTTGCTGGATATAAGTCAGTATACATAACCCTGCAGGCTGTTACAGTACGTTCATTTTATTAGGATTGAGACATAACTTTCCATTTAGTAGCCTTTTAAAAAATGCCTTTCGATTTATAAATTACTTTTTAATAAAACATAGCTGTTTTTACTCAGAATCCACCCTTTTCCAAAGAATACCGCATCATTCCATCCAGGCTTAAATCTAGAAGGCATTCCTTAGACTGGTGCTCAGGACTAATGTTCCTTAAGAGTCAACAAGCATGAAATCACACAGTAATGATAACATCAGCTCCTCTGGTGCTCATTAAACAGGTGGGATAGAGAGAATTTTTTTTTTTTTTTACAGGCATCCTTATCTAGAAGTTTGTTTATATATATATAAACAAAAAGAAAAAAAAAACAGGAAAAGGAGCTCCTGGGGAAGATAAAAGTAGAGATTGACAGATAAAGATCTCAGCTTACTACCATGAATCTGCCTGGATTCTCAGTAACCAGTGGTGTCAAAAGTGCACACACTTGTTACTCAAGTAGAAGTGTGTTTTAAAAACACTCTGGTAAAACTTGAAGTATCAACTTGACCTCTTTATTCAAGTAAAAGTGAAAAAGTATGTGCTCCAAAAACTACTGAAAGTACAAAAGTATAAAGTAACCTTTAAAAAAAACAGCCAGATGCCACTATATGAAGCGAAAGCTCAATTTTTCGACTATTTCTAAAAATTCTTTGAGATAGGGCCAAGGATGAGGGAGGTCTTGTTTGTCTCCATCTCCCGACACGCTCTCGCCTGTGTCCGACCTTTCAGACATTTCAACATCTTTTTTCTGAATCTGAATAGCATGGCATAGACAATTCACGTTTGCGGTTTGAACACCTGCTTGCTTCTGATGATTTCCTTTAGCTAACCAATGAGTGTTTGCGTTATATGACTCATCCAGTTACACTAGTTTTCACTAGATGTGGATGGCGCCACTTATCTGATGTGCATTGGATGATATAAAATACATTTTTATAAACATTAAACCAAAGCCAAGAGTAACGAGTAACGTTTGATTTTAAAATTTAAGGAATAGAAAGTACAGATACTTGTGTGAAAATATAATGAATAGAAATCAGAAGTAGGAAGAAATATAAGTAATGGAGTATTTGTACTTAGTTAGCTCTGTCAGTAACTCAGAGCGTACCTCTGAAGGAAGGGATCTTAACCCACAATTCCGCTTCTTCAACATATTTCAACCACACATATTAAGGTGAGCATCCAGTTTAAGCCTCTTGTGTAAATCTAAACAGTTTCAAACACATGTTATTTCTAATGGGAAACAGGCTGAGTGATAAATATATGGGTGTGTGTTTGGGTGTGTGTAAATATTTGCGTCTCTGTGCCAACAGTGCATAATGTTGGACACACCCCACAGCGCTGGATGAGAAGTAGCTGCTGCATCACCACAGCAGAGTCCTAGAACCATGACCTCATGTCATGCGATCGTTCAATAATTAAAAAAATAAAGGACGAAACATGAAAGGAACCAGACGAAGACTATGAGCTCCAATGCATTATGTCATATGCAGTTTATTCCACTATAAAACAGTTTAATATCAGCTCTTATAAACCAGTATTGAGCTCTGCTTCTAAAACACACCCAGACCTCAGAAATATAGATTCAATAATATGCCTTGGTTGAACAATAAAACACCCAGAAACAAAAGTGCTTTTGAAAAAGAAGCCATTAAGCACTGATGGATGCATTAGGGAGATGCAGCAGATAATATTTCAGAAGCAACAAGCTTAAATGTTTCAAATCACACTGGTTCACTGGTGATTTTCTGGAGAAAAAAAATCTCAAAAACAAGCCAAAGCCGCAAACTTAGAAGGAAAGCCACAACTAATCTGCAAGACTGGATCGCACTGTTAAATTGAAAGCCTTAAATATCATCAACTCAATTAAAACCAAAGACTCTGATAGAGGCGACGTGTGCTTTGGTTTTCAGCGAAACTTAGTGTTCTAACCTTAAAACTTGTGATCATTATAGAACATTTATGATGTAAGAATTGATTATTATTCCTTTAAAGTCAAAGTCTGAAATTTTTCCAAAACATTGAAGGAGTGAAGCCTGGTACGGTTTGTGAGCATAAACCACACAAATGTAGCAGCGGCACCTTATTTCATGAAATAAAATATTTTTTTAAAAATGGAGAATCCACAGGTTTTATTTTTTTTAAAGATTAGTTACTCTATATACCTGTGTGAATTCTCATTTATCTGGGTCATCTCAGCCACAAATCGGCATAAATGGGAGGCAACTGGACTTTCGCCAACTATCGAGAATTAACTAGAGCATTTCCCTATATTCCCTCCCGTAAATCCAGCTGTTATACTAAGCATACAATAAAATATGCTGGAGATTATGTCAAAGTGATATAATATAGATATCAGTGAGTTTCCGGAGAAACATTTTGATTTGGAACTGCAAAAACTTTATGAAAATGAGTAAAAATGTCTTAAAAGGAGTTTATTTACCCTTAATCGGAGTAGGAATTAAGAAACTGCAGTTGTTTTTTGTTTTTTTTAAATGCAAATTATCTTATTCCATTGGCAAAGTGTCTCATTTACCTGCTTAATTCAAGAATAAATGCACTTATTTAAAGAAAACTTGGCTTATTTAGATTAAAATGTTTTGTTGTGCAAACCACCAGGCATGGCAGTGGACATATAATGCTTTTGGCTTGATTTCTTATCAGTAGTATCTGAAACATTTAAGCACAAGTTCTAAATAAGCAAAAAAAATTCTCATATCCATGGTTTATTTTCCTAGATTGGAGGATTTCCTCATGAAATTAATCCTAAAAAAAATAAAAAAATAAAAAGCTCATTTATGATATAATCTATTCAGACAGAAGATGTTTCTTCATGACTGTCACCGAACAATTAGAATTACGACCCTTCAGTAACACCCAACATAAAAGCTACACAAGAAGTCGAGCTCCTGGGATCAGATTATCAACCAGCTCATAAATCCCGTTGACACGTTTATAATCTCCAGCTGAATTAAAACAGCTGACGGCTGCAGCGCTAGCGAGTCTGCACTTCTCGCCTTCACTGGAATGAATTTAAAAGGTAAAGGAAATTACAGCCAGTAAACAAGGGAAGTCCATAGTCTGTCCCCTGAGGAGGCCTTCAGGCCACTGTCAACACAATCAACCTTAGAAGGCCAATGCAAACCTGTGATCTGCAGTAACCTTTATCATCAAAGGTTTTATACCATTATGTTGGAAGGACAATCATAAATCTACATGTCATTTCTCTCAAGACAAACAGGACCACAGCATCATAGATCCACCAGCATACTTTACAGTAAGGCCATATTTTGATCTTTATTTCACTTCCAACTAACATCAGTTGCTGCATAAATTTTCATTTTTAGTCTCAGCTGTGAGCCAAAAGCATAGAGATGCATCTAATTATTATTATAGTGGAGGTTTTATAGGGTGTGTTTTAGAATGCTTGTGAAATTATGAATAAAATGGAGCACAGCAATGAAGAAAAACAAATATTGATAAGAAGGAAATATGTTGCAATAGAAAATGTGGGAGTAGGAGACAAGAGGAGATAAATAACAGAGCAGGGATCTGGTTTCTGTTTAGAAAATGCCAGCTGTGCCAGCTGGCCTCTTCTCCGCATGTGAACCTAAACAGCCTCTCATATTACTGCAAAAGACAAGAGAGGTCCCATGACATATCGAAACCCACAGCTGATATGGCAGCTTCCATTACCCGCTCCGTTAAACAATTATTCTGCTATCTCACATCTACTGCTGCCCTGCGGACGGGAAACAAGTCTTCCTTTAGTCACAAGGGGGGAAAAATCATTTGTGGTTGTGACATATAGTAGGAAGGCTTCAGAAAGATAATGTCAACCGTGGAATCTGATTTACTGTGTGAAATCTACTGACATTCTATTAATAATGTCAGAGAATAATCCACGCTCTGGTTGGTTCCTTTTAACGAGGCGACAAGTTGGCTGCAGACTTGTCATAAGGGCGGATTGTTTAGTTAGAACCTTTGATCACATCTTAAGAGGCGTTATAAAGATTCCAACTCACCTGATTTAAACAGCTAATATGGAAAAAAAATCGGGTTTTTTAAGCAAAAACAAAAAGTAGGTAAAGGAAGTGCTCCTAATTACCAACAGTAGCCGACAGCGACATGTTGCAACACATTTGTAGCTCAGGTATTTATTGTTTATCTTGCACAAGCAGTGAGCCTGAATATTTAAACTCAGGCGTATCTAACAGTTTTACTACAACAAATAAACCATACGGCAGAACTGTTCATTAAAACCTGTGAGAAAAGGAGTTTACTTAAGGTGTTTACATTCCAATAGTACTCTAACCCATTTTCTTTCCCATTTCATATAATGGCAATAAAATTGTATTTTATAGAAATTTGGAAATAATTACACATTTACATTTTTTTATATGCAAAACAATTACAAAGCATGGTGTCTATTTGGATTCACCCCAACTACTTTAGTACTATTAAATAAAATCCCTCTCAACAGTTGATCAGTGAAACCAAGGAACACAGCAGATGGGTCAGCATGTAGCCTCTATTGACGCCTAAAAGCAGAATTAGGTTCTAAAACGACCAAACAGCTCAGAGCGAGACATCAAAATGTGACAAACCCCCTGAATTAACACCAAGGGAGCGATTAGCATTAATAGAAGATTAGCATTGATACAAGCAATACTAAAAGCTGCAGAGATCCGCCCTCAGGTGGGGGAACCTATTGATCTTGATTGTCATGTGTTATAGTGGCCTAGTTAAAGCTCAGACCTGAATCCAAACAATTCTGGTCCTCAAAATTGTGCAAAAATCTTACTTTTTTTATCTGTAAAAAAAGGGTGAAAAGTTTTAAGTTCATATGAAAAAAAGTCCATCGTGTTTTTGTCTTCTCAACGTCTCCAGGCTCCATCACAGACCGATGACCAGTCCAATTTGGAGATAACAAACATGGACCAGCTCCTGCAGTTCTTCTACCCTGAATACAGCGTGATCCAGCAGTGCATGAGGAAAAGATCATGGCACGCCTCATCCTCCTCTTTCCCTTCCACCTCTTTTTCAACCTCTTCGGTGAGCCCTTTAGCCCGCCCCGGCGACGACGACTTGTGGGTCCCATTGCGGGCAGAGCCTCTTTACAAAGATGATGGAAATATAGCAGGTAAAGAGTAAAGTGGCGTTAGTGCTTTGGAAAATCAAACACTTGTTTTCTAACTTATTGACCCTGTCCACAGAAATTCTGGAGGAGCTAAAGAGGATACAATGCCAGCCAAGGGAGGTGTGTGTTGAGGTGGCCAAAGAGTACCCAGAATCCACGGGTCAGTTACATGTCCCTCGCTGCGTGGCGCTGCATCGCTGTGGCGGATGCTGCGGGAACGAGGCTTTCTACTGCACCAATACCAGCTACAGTCTGGTTAATAAGACGGTGAGGAAGATTGAGGTGCAGAGGGACTTTTACATCTGGACGATGTTCTGTATGGAGGGAATTTTGTTCGATTATAGTTGAAATCAGAAAACGTGTTTTGTTATTAAAAAAAAAAAATAAAATGCTATCCGAAAATGAAACTTCCATTAAAAAAATAATATTTTTTTCATCGTTTTCAGATAAGAATTTTAACACTTGCATTTTTTGATTGCATTTTAATCTAAAATTTTAATTCAAATTTGAGAAAAATAATATGAAAAGAAATGTAATCTAGAAATTGCAAAGGTTTTGAGAGTAGCTTTGCTGTTCTTTTCTATTTTTTTTATATTTTTCTAATGTTTCTTACAAATTTGACATTTTCAGAATTCATGTTTTCAAATATATCCTTGTATTTGATTGCATTTTATAGATTACATTCTTCCTTAATCACAGTTGTAGGGGCTAAGCCGACGCTTAAAGCCACTGGAGTGTTTTTAAACTGGAATCTTATGGTTGACGCGCTTTGCCAGGGTTAGATGGTGTGAACAGAAAATGTCCAGACGCTGTTCTTGCTGTTTAAAGGCTGATTTATTCCCACTCTTGCTGCTTACAAAACAAAAAAAATTATACAACAGCCAGCTGTGAGTTGACAGCATTTCCCCGCCAAGCAGTCAAACCGATTTGCCCTTTCCGGTGAAACACATGCCCATATGCACATCATTTCCCTTCTTTTATAGAGCTTATACATAATTGCTTCTACAAGAGTATTAAAGTCCAATAAAAACAAAAACAAAATCCAAGAAAAGAGCTATTCTCAAAACCTCGTTTTTTTTTGTTTTTTTTTTTCTTCTGTTTCAAAATTCCATTTACAAAACATTTTTCTTGTAGCAATAAGACCAAAATTGTATCCATAGTTTCAACTATTTTTAAATCAATCCAACTGATACATGCTGCTGATTTTTAAAGTTGATATTGACTTTACCTTTTCTCTATTTACATGATATAAAAGACACAATGATACCATTTCTTACAAACGACTCAATGTAAAACAAGAAACATTGGTTTTTAGATCAAGCAGGCGTAATCTCGTGATCTAATGGCATGGTTGCTAAATGCACTAATTAATCGGCAAATTCATGCACATACCAGCCTATAATATCGCTCGATCTCTATTCTTCTCTGCAGAGTTCACTCAACCAGCCAAGCTGGAAGAATTCCCAGCATGTAAAAAGGCACATCACATCTCAATTAGATTTAAGTGCAAACTTTGACTAGACCACCTTAAATCCTTCAGTTCATTGAGCTTCTTTCAGTTTAGATGCTAAAGCGCCACCAGACCAGCTCTGAATGTTGGTATAATGTTGTTTTGTCATAAAACATTCAGGGTTAGCTAAAATTTTTTTGAATGGAGCGTGAGGTTTTGATCTTTGAGACATTCGGCCTCGTGTTGTTTTTTTATGCATACATTGATGATGTAAAACTAAAGCAAATGTATTCAACTTAATTAGGAAGAAGCGTTCACTTTATATCATTAAATCAATATGTTAAAACAAATATTTTTTTTATTCTCCCAGATTTTGTTGGTTTTTTTTGCATGAAATTTAAATCTCTTTTGATTAGAAAGGACTAAACGTTTCAACAAACAAAACAAAAACAGCACATTAAATCTGGTACATCACTGCTTTCACACTTCATAATCTATCTGCATGCTGAAACCAATTCTTCCCAATTATGTTTCTTGCCTGACCACAGCACACACACCCCGCTCCATGGGGAATAGGCTGTTACTGGATACAGCGGACACAGTCACGCACAGCTGCACGATCTCACAACAAACCGCACCGCCTGACCAGAGCCACCCTTCACACAGACTTCAGTTTGGATAAAATGACAAGAAACTCCTTTAACCTCTTTGCTCTTCCTCCCCTCCAGCTGATGGAGCTGTCTCCACCCAGGATGGACCAAACGGTCGTCATGGTTACGTTTGTCAACCACACCACGTGCACTTGCCTCTCCAAGCGGCCGCTCCACTCCATCATAAGACGAGCAGCTACAGATTATCTGTGAGTAAGACGACCTGCTGACGTCTGTGTGCCTGAGTGACTGCGCTGTGTTCAAACATGTCTGACTGTTTTATGTCTGGGGATGTGCAGGTGTTCCCCTCCTGAACTCCCCTGTGCCTCAGGATCATTGTGGGATCCCGTAAACTGTGGGTGCATCTCTGCCGACACGATGAGCTACACTCAGAAACATACAGGTGAGATTTTTTTTTACCCAATTCTTTGAGCCTGGGACACTTACTACAGAGGGGAATATAAAAAGTGCCAAAAGAACATTTTTCTCCTCTAATAACATTCTAGAAATTGGGAAAAAGAGAGCTAGACTCAACAGATCAAGTTCAGCTCAACCCTAAATGTTTTCTCTTAGGTTCAGAGAATGGATCTGCACGTCTATTCCTCATGTTGATTTGGCTAAATGCTTAAAACAAACAACCTATTAAAAGATCAAATGAGGATCAGCCATCAGCCTTGCTTTCACAAAAGTTTCTTTAAGTGTAAAACTTATATTCAAGTACACAGAAAAGTCAAGGTTTTGAAAACCAGGACTAACCTTTGTCTTGTTTGTGAAGATGACACAGTTATTAAAATAAAGCAAAAAACAAAGATTTAGCCGTAGAGCATAGGTTACTGATTTGTTTTTGTTACGTCTGACATGACTGGGCTCCAAGGTTAAGTAAGAGGCAGGTTTTGATATCACTAAAATAGTTGAGCGTATTTCAATCAATACGAAATTTAAATTATCTAAAATATCCCGCAGCCATATGGAAGAAGGGTTTCTTTGGAAACAAATCACTTTGTATCCCCATGGAGAAATATTCACCTCCCACACGTTTAGTATAATTTTTTTTTTTACCAAATCATGTTCATTAACTATGTTATTTTGCACTGGAATCGTGTTTATTGACATAATTGATCCAAAAAACCTAAATGTGAATGACATTGACCATGATAGACTAGCAGTAGGAGATGAGTGGATAGATTTTTTTAATGCTTTGAAAGAAATTTTAACATTTTAACGTGGAAAAGGTTCCTCATGATCATAAAAAAGGGGGAAAAACAAAACAGTACCATATTATAAACCAGGTCATAAGATTAGCAAATTACAGCACATCTCTTTGTGATGAGAAGGGCCACCCTGATTACAGAGGAAACAGCTCAGCCTTTCATTACTCATTCCAGCTGCTCCCACCAACCTGAAAAAACATCTACTATATATCAGTTAAAATTCTTAAAAACCCAAGTTTAATTCAGAGGTTTTAAGTAGACATGATTTCATTTATCTGGTTTTATGTGCTTTGTATCTGTATTTATTAACGTGTTTTCTTGTAGTTAAATTGGAATGCTTGGTAGTAAGGTCCTAAAAGGAGAATACCTGTTACCAGTTGCCGCAAATAAAGTTTTCCTATTCTGTAGTTTAAATTTGTAAGAAAAAATTAAATACATCAACTTTTATTTTGTCAGCTGCCACCATTTAAACAAAGTAAATGAGTTTGTTAGGGTGTACAACGCAAGGGTGTAACTTTGTGATGAAAGTTGGTGGGGATACTCGGGTGGACCTACAGTTACACTTTCATTAGGCTAATTTTCCAAAAATGAGCTCAAACATGTATTTATTGAATGCTTTCCTATTTTTGAAAACACAAGACCACACACTGATATTAATATTTATAGATGTTAGAGGGATGCCTTTTAGTGCATTACAAATATAGGGCCCCAAAACATCAATGCATGAAAAAAAAAAATTTCCAAAGTCCAATGCCAAAATTGATATATCATGTATCTCTAGAAGTGCAATTTCAATTCCATCCAGAAAAAAATTGGATATGCTGCATTTTAAATATAGCTTAGAGTATTATTTTCTTGTAAAATTTGTGGTAAACTTGGAGATATAATTTATTGCATGTTGCATATCCCAGTAAATCTGCTTCTCTCTGTTTAAAGAGATTTATGAGCCTCTTTACTAATATAATGATGCCAGAAACTAACCACGGAGCTGACGGCTCAGTTCGACTGCCCGGTGTGTTTCGACTACGTGCCGCACTGTAGTCGACCAAAATCCCGGATGATTTTGAAATTCCCCCCGGACATTTTTTTAGGTATGAAAAGTAGGACATGTCTAGGAAAAAGAGGATGTCTGGTCACCCTAAATAGTTAGTAAAAAGAATGTAATATAAAGAACGGGAAAATCTGCATTTTTGGCCAAACTGTTACTTTCAAACCAATTATTGGGTTAATTTAGCTATAAAAGCACTGCAGGCTGCCCTGCTACAAAACTCAACTGCATCATTGCATCTCCTTTATGAGCTATCTAAGCTAAAAGCTAAAAATGATCAGACATTTTTACAAGCAACTCCATGACTTTTCAGTCAGATCCAAAGTGGTCTGCAGCCACACTCCAAAACACAGAGGAAGAAAAAAAGCCCTGAAAGTTACAGGTCTAGCGCCCCTAGTGGCTAAAAGTTAATCCCAATCTAAAACTCTAAACTTAATATTTTTTGTCTTTTTCTTGTACAAAGTGTTAATGGTATCAGCAGAAACACTGCCGCACATCATCACTGAATACAAATACACGGTAGATATCAGGTGATATTATTTTGTTTCCAGCCAAACACACTGGAAATCTTCTTACAAAAGAGTTAATCTTCAGACTTCTTTATCAACATGCCGCTCCAGTTAAGTTCCATGTCTCTATTGCAATTATAGAACAGAAAAGGATTTTTCTGGCATACCTTAAAAGAAATCAAAAATAATCAGCTGACATGTAGAGAGGGCGTCTTTGCTGCGGCTCTTACACTTTCCCACACCCTCTCCATCCATCCTGATGTGATAAGGCAGGTTTACTGGTTCCTTTTAATCATTCCTCTGATTGCAGATTTGGCCACGTCTCAGCAAACTGCTACTTACTTTTATCCATTTACCGCCTTATAAATCACCTAAAAAAGGGTAGCTATGTAGCCAAATGAATCATGCCTTTTAGACGAGCTTGTAGTCATGCCCCGCAGATACAGCCCAGAGACAATCCGTGTGAAACGAGGAGTATGATGGCACTGCCAGATCGTTTCAAACAAATTCACCCCACCACAGTGTTGATACAAATGAAGCTGGAATGTAGTAATGCTCTTGTACAATCACGCACAGCCCCAACACCTTTACTAACTTACTGCATGATTGGAATATCTATTTTTGATGCTGTAGGGTGCATATTCAAATTGCCTTCTCTGTAAACTGCTCTCAAACTCAGGTCTCAACATGCAGATTTAGAGTAATAAACCAAAACAGACACTGTAGGTGTTCTGCCCGCCTGGCGCCTCAGAAACAGTAATTAACCCTAAGAGGCTTTCAGCTTAACGTCATCATAGATGTCAAAGATACCCAGGTATGTTTAAAAGGTCCATCATAAACTTAAATTTAGTTGAAAATGACTTTTTTTTTTCCATTTGGTGTCTTATGTGAAGTACCGTTTTTTCTCTTAATACTTTTTGTCTTCCAGAAGCGCTGGACTCAGGTCTGCTGGCTCTCTGCGGGCCCAACAGGGTTCTGGAAGAATCCACCTGTGACTGCGTCTGTCAAAACGGACTCACTGAAGCCAGCTGTGATCCAGGCCGGAAACTGGATCCAAACACCTGTAAGGAGACAATCAATCACATTCATTCAACTTCATCTTGTTTCATAAGAACGGAGATCTGCAAGATGGTAAAAGCTTAGCCTAATAAACTATCCCCACATGCCAGCGACCAAAATCAATGCCCCAGGGCCTAGAACTGGTGGGCCATTCACAACGCAGAGATGTGTTTTTTGAATTTTTGGATGCAAAGCGGGCGTGGTTTTGAGGGCGTGACAACAAAAGGTGCACGACACTGGAGAAATCACAACAAGAAAGATGGCAACAACTATTGAACAGTAGCATGCACTGCGGCGGCAGCAGCGTTCACTGGAGCACTCCATTGAAAGTTAAAAGTTCTCTTTTCTGTTCTCTGTTGTTCAATTAAAGTTCGTTTTAAGATCATTTGAGGCGAGAATATTATACTTTAAAGTGTCACTATATGGTCCATTTACCAATTTGATGTGTAATTTAAAAAAACAAATTCGGAAGTTGAGAGGGCAGCGGCACCCAGGGGAGCTCCAAGGCTAAGGGCAGCCAGGGCTACCCGCAGCCCCTCTGCAGCGGCCCTCTTTTGGCATAGTCACGTGTGAAGGACCGCTGGCTCTGATGGCGATTTTTGACTCAGCTTTGGAATCAGTTTTGGAAGGATTAGACTTGGGGTTTTCGTTGAAACGTCAGCACGAAGAGGCTCTACGCTCAGTTATTTTTAAGAAGGACCTATTCGCCATTTTAACGACAGGCTGTTTGTTTACACTCCCCCACCAGCTTTCTGTAACACTTATTATGTCACAGTGAGTTGCGCTCATTGGTCAGAGCGTTGGCCAATAGGCACAGACAGCGGTTTGAAAACGGGTTGATCTCATTA